CTGGGTAAAATAATATGGAGGATGGGCTGTCACCTAAGCAAAAAATCCCCCCTCTCCACATCACTGAAATAGTCCAATGGAAAGGCAAGAGCCAATACAACTGGTTCTAGCAATGTTGCAGGAGTTGCCAGAATGACATGAACTGCCTCTGGGACTCCGGCTCCAGATTTTGCCTCGAGGTTAACTCCTGAAGCCTTTTCCATCAGTGGATGTAGCCACAAGGTAGTGGAGGTTTGAAATCGGAGTTTTCCTTCTCCTAGATGGGCTGCCCTCCAAGGCTGACGAGTTGCACCTACCCAGCCTGTTCCCTAAGAGACCTTCTCTTCCAAGAGGACCACCAACTTACACTTAGAGCATTTTTACCCAGGAACCTCATTTGGCAAGAGAACAAACATACCACGGGTGTTACATTGCTATTACTGTGGATGTTATTAATGCTCTAATTGATGCCCCATTCTCTAGTGGTGCTTGTCAATGAAACCCTGGCAAGCACATATCTTTAAGCCACACTTGTCTTGTCCAGCAAAGTGATTAGAAGGGATCAGCTTTTTAACTTGCATGCGGCCTGTACAGACAAAAGACTCTTAATAAGGAAAAAAATTACACATCTGACATCCAGAGCTAGCAGTATATTGATCCTTGCCGATATATTTGTTATCTACTGTACTTCTTGCCATTTCATGCCAAACCAAATTTCAACATTGCAAGCAAAAGTCACTAAAGCAGCTATTATTTTAAACTTTAAAATCTACAGTATGGTACACTATGATGCATTATAGATTTTTTTTATTACTCTGTGATTGAAAGAAGGTAGAATCTTTAAAGAGAGCTCTTGTCCTTCCCTCTTTTGTTCTTCTCTTCCTTTTCTACTGATTTCAATAGTCGATAACATGAGTCACTGAAAAGTTGCACATACGATTCTGATCCTATTCCTGTCACGCTTTATTTTGACTTCTCATTTGCTGTTAACAAACTAGAATTTCACCAGTCATCTATTTATGCTCCCCCCCTTTTTTCTCTCTCTCTAGAGCAGAAGTTCATAACCTTTTCTTTAACAAGGACCATCTTTAAATATTATTTATTGCCACGGACCACCAAGAGTACTGTAAATTCACGATTTTAAGATGCATCAAAAATGTATTTAAAGATTCTTGTGAAGAGTCTCATGAACAGATATTCCTTGCTGTAATGGCGACACTTTTAAGATGACTGGAAGAAGCTTCAGGACCACCAAGAGTACTGTAAATTCACGATTTTAAGATGCATCAAAAATGTATTTAAAGATTCTTGTTAAGGGTCTCATGAACAGATATTCCTTTCTCTAATGGCGACACTTTTAAGATGACTGTTGATGAATGCACCTTCATCAACAGCATCAGTTCTTTTATATCTAAATTCAGCCAGCAATCCATTCTGAGGCTCAGCCAAAATGTATTGTTATGAAATTCACTGTGATAATATCAAAAAGTCACTTTACCTGCCAATAACGGTTTATCAGCAGAAACTGAAGAAGAAAGATGATCACGAAGTGCATCTGAACATTCACTCACACTGACACTGACTGACTCTGCCTCTCTCTTCCCACAGCTTCTGACTGTCTATGCAGTGGCGAGAAATGTTACATGCTGTCTCTCAGCCACTAAGTGTCATTCACTTGCATATTCTCACAGTGTGCAGAAATATAAAACAGTTATTTGCTATCAAACAGTTATTTTTATAACCGATTTTTTAATTTTGTTTATTTTTAATGAATGAGGTAGGTTAGAAAAACCAAGTTTTACACAAACAAGCAAGGGAAAGATTTCAATTGACAGTTCTTCAGGTTCAGAGTCAATTCAGTTTAATTATAAAAAATCTGGTCTTAACATGGCCTTAAAATCTTATTTAATATTATGATTTTTTTTAGCACTCTCCTTCAGGGTTAGTTTACTTTTTTTATATTAACAGTTGAAATTTGCCCATAGTTTGCAGCTGATCTTGGTTTGATAGAGAGAATACGGCTTTACCATCTTCTTCTGATTATGAGTCATTCTCCTGCTTCTTTTCCCCTTTGTAGGCCAAATTCTTTTATGGTTCTGCTTTATTTTCTGTCTTTTTTTTGTACTTTCTCTTTTGATGTGTGATCCATTTCCATCTAGATACTTGCACAAAAATTTCTATTTCTTCTTCTTCTGCATCTGTAGTTGGAGCATAACAGATGTAAACGTTTCCCAAGAAATCTGATTGATATTATTGCATCAGACTTTACACTATAGTCCCTAAATATTTCTGCAATGTATCACCTCACTATTAGAGGCACACAACCTATTTTCTATTTGACACTTGCAGAGAAAAACATTGTAGTTATCTGATTGAAAAAGTCGTATGTCAGTTCTTTAATTTATTCACACCAAGTATTGCAATGTTTAAATGTTCAATTTCTTGGTTTCCAGTTGTGTGTTTACCTTAACACTTCTCACATTCCATGTTCCAATTTTATATGTTGTACAGCATTAGACTTTCCTTTTGCCTCTGTGCACACTGACAGCTAGATGCCCTTTTGGCTTTAATCTACTTGTTTCATAGGTGAAAAAGCTAGTTATACTTATCCTTTGCTCTTCTCCAGTAGCTGATAGAGTGCATGCTGATTAAGACTCTTGTCTTCCAGTGCTTTCTTTTATTTCATGTTGGATTCTAGATTGTCTCATTATATATTTCAAGGCAAAAAATATTCAGACGTGGCTTACTGTTACTTCCTTCTCATACTATTAACTAAAGTTAGCTTGAATGTCACTGCCATTGTCTGTGAGAGATACTGTGCCAATCCCTGCTGTCTACTAGCTGCCCTTCCATAATTTTTCTTTCCTCACCATCACTGGAACTATCATTTTATTCTGCTGATGCAACTCTTAATTCATAAATAAGATACTGTCTCATCTCTGACCTTTTCGCCTTGGATGACCCTGATAGGAATCTAGACTTGTAACAAAGTGTGATTCCGCTGGCAAAAACTCTATGGGTTCAAAACCTGGTTTGTTAACTCATGTCAACTTTTATTAAAAGCACAGAGTCAGCTACTATTGCCTCTTTCCCCACTTTCAAAGGGGATTAAATTTCCACCATTAATCCCTTGGGCACAGTCCTTCTGACTTCACTGGAGTCCCCAAAAGTCCAGGCCCAAAGAAGCAGGCAGGAAGTCTGACTCTTGCGTTTAAAGGTTCTTATCTTCAGTGTGATATGTTTTATCTCTCATCTTGTTTATTCTCTCCTGAGAAGGGTCCACACAGTCTTTGGATCCCCAGTTTCCTCATGAGCAAGAGTTACACAGTATACACATGAGTAAGGAGGCAGCAGCAAAAGCAGCTGAGAATAGTGGTGGTGTGAGGGGGAAACACTAGGGTGAAGGTCGGGGAGATGGAAGACAGGCAAACCTCCTCTTTTTCCCCACCTTTTTCCTCAGCCAGGTCTGTGCTGCCCATTGAGTCAACATAAGCCCATTCCCTGCCTTCTCTCATGGCCATCATTCAGTGGGCACACTTTCTTCTCTCTTTTTTGTTAAATACTTTAAGTGGCATAGCGAAATATCAATGCATCAACATAGCATGGTATTAGAATTACACTATATCAGTTAGGGAAACTTTTTTTTTAAAAGGTGGTGAAAATACATGAGGGTTTTTCCATCCTCCCTTTTAATGTCACAGCACAGCTAATACATCACAGGGTGGTCTCCTCAGATAACACCACCCACATCTCTGTTTGTGTGCGAACTAGCCATCCACACAGGCTACACAATGAAATAAATAGAAGTCCACTGAATAATAACCAACACACACACACACACACACACATACACAGAGAGAGAGAGAGAGAGAGAGAGAGAAGCCCTAGCCATATCCCAGAAAGGAGTGGGACTGCTCTTAAAAGGGCAGGATGGATTTATCTCAGTAGAAACATGTGTAGATGCTATAATTTGGTTCAAATCAAACTATACCAACAGCAATGCAAATAATGATCTATACACCTTTCTGGACAGGCTCTAAAGTTTGCAAATGCCACTATGAAGGAATTACAAAACATGCTTAAGAGTAAGGACATATCACTAAAGACCAAAAACTAAACAGAAGGATTTGAAATCTGGACCATAAAGAAACCTGATGGAGATTCGTGTGATATGCAGTGGTAGAGGCAAACATAGGAACTTTGGACTGCCATAAAGACAACTAAATGGACCCCAGATCAAATCAAGTCAATGTTTTCGACATAACATGAGAATACAAGGTTTAACAGAAAAACTAAAATGCTGAGAATAGTCAAAAGCAGCAGTGACATGGGTTGAGCTATTAAGGACAAGACTTTTGAAGGTGACTTCATTCATATAGTCACCATACACTGGAAGTCACTTGATAGCACACAACCCCTATACAGCTTCATGTCTACAAAATTCAAGTTTTTAACAACATATTAATTCAAAGCAGGGAAGTATAACAGATGAAGGAATTGATTTCTAAGTGAAGAATTCTGAAATACAAATTGGCAACCAGATTTTTGGTGGAAATCTGCTGCTGAAGACCAAGAAATTAAAATGCAACGTAATTCCCATGCCTAATACAGCAACTAGCTTTTGCAACCAGATACCTTCTGTATCTTCAAAATGTCCTAAATCCTCTAATTAAAAAAATGTTTTAAATTACATTTGTTAATAACCCATTGATGCCACTGTTAGTAAATCTGCTTCTCTTTCATAAATATTGAATAGCTTTAAGCCATTCCTTTTCTTAGGAAACCAAATCCATGTTCACGCTTTTCAAATACAGCTCCTCTCTCACACAGAGGAAGAAAGAGCTGCTTCATTCAAACCCTGAAGCAAAACCATGTTTGCCACTGAAGAAGACATGAGCCCAACGATTTATTTCAGCACTTCAAAGATGTCAGATGTGATCAAGGTTTGGCAAACACACAACACAGTTTCCCAGCAGTGCCTCCTTTATAAAGATAGAAAATGCTGAGATTATTTTGCTTACCGTATGTGCTGTGCTTCCCATTCTTGGCAAATAATTATCACAGTTACAAGCACTACCTGAGCAACAGGATGACAGACAAACAGGTTGCATTGAAACTTGTTGCTGCTTGGTAGTTCATAGGTAGATCCCAATCGTCATATATACTGCATAGGCTCTCAGCTCCACCCACTATGTCCTCTGGATGAAAAGAAGAGAACAAGGAGGGGAAGAACTATAAATCCTAGCACCTTGAGAAATACAGGAAATGTACAGACTTCAGCAGCATAAAGGCAGATGATGGAACCAGAAATTTCCCTATCCTGAGCTTCTTCCAGTCCAGACTGTTGCTGACACTCCCTCTCGCTCTCCTTGACAGGCTAAGTAAATATTTCCTCACAGCACTTACACATTTGACATGACTTTCACACTGGCAGTATGATACCTCTGACTCTTACATGGGAAGGCAAATTGATTTGGGCAATAAGGAGTTATGTGACTCTGCCCACTAAAGAAACTGGCACAAACAGCCGAACATGCTCCTCTCCAATTAACAGCCAGAAGAACTCTTAGTAGTAATATAAGATATAAAAGTAATAAGTAAATACATAATCAGCACACAAACCCATTCCATGTATTCATTTTGAAATATATTCTATGTCCTTTGGTCTTTCAACCACTACTAGCACTATCGTTAAACATTAAACATAAATACAAATAGACGTATGTACACCTGAGGAGTGTTAGCTTGACAAATATAATGTTAGCAAATTTGAAAGTACAAATATACATATACATATACACATACACCTACACACCTACACACGCACGCACGCACGCACGCACGCACGCACGCACACACACACACACACACACACACACACACATACATACATACATACATACATACATACATACATACAGCTGGGAATAATGGGATCTCTATTCCCTAACAAATTTCACTGGATTGAAAGGATGATCCATTAACATTTCACCAACTAAGAATTATTTTCTATTAATGCATGACAGTTTATTGTAACAGCACTTTTCTCTTGTCTGTAATACTTTGCAAAGCAAAACTGGCACACCTATATATCCATTGTCAAACATCAGAGGTGTTCTTGACTCATTAACACATAATCACTTAACGGATGCTCAGCTAAACAGAGAGTGACCTTTGTCACACTCCCATTTTGGTGTCTGCTGTTTAATTGTTGTTGTTTTTTCTTGTTTGTTCTCCTCACTAACATTACAAACCCATAACCCTAAAGAGTGAACTCAAGACCTGGCTCTTTAGGCAGGCCTTCCCTCCTGTTAATATCAAATTTATTTGCTCTTTTCAATTGTATTAATGTTGTTGTTTTCTTTTTTATTATTCTTGAGTGTTGCTAGCCTCCTAGAGAGAGTAGACTTCAGTCTAGATGGACAGGATATAATTAATTAATTAAATAAAATAAATATATAATCCACAGATTACTCTATCATAATACATGTAATTTTTAAAATAAGATTGCTGTGTTCTGCTCTGTTTATAATGTACATATATTTCTTCTTTAGATCATCATTATCACCTTTGAACTGCAGAGCTGGAAGGGACCATCTGGATCATCAGGTCCAGCCCCTCTCAAGGAAGCACAGTGGGGAAATGAACTCCCAACCAGATGCCTAAGCCATTGAGCTATCCAGCAGATGTCATTTCTTCATTGCATTTGGTACTCTCCAATTATTTAATGTAGTTATGTTGTGTGTATCTCAGCTGCCAGTTCTGTCAAGCCTTTTTCTCACTATTGTGATCTTAGGCATCATCATTTTTATAATGCCTGAACAGTGAACATGTGTGTGGAAGGGGGAAGGCATGAAAGGTGGTTGTGGTGGTTTTAACTTTTGCCCCAAATCTATGTCCACTAAATCCCTATATGCATATGAACTGTATGCATGCATAGAGCATGATGTTTTGGCTAATATTATCAAAAATCCCAGCCTGGCTTTCTAATTTATTTATTTATTTATTTATTTATTTATTTATTTATTTATTTATTTATTTATTTATTTATTTATTTATTTATTTATTTATTTATTTATTTATTTATTTATTTGCCACCTTTTTCTTAACAGTGGGACTCATGGTGGCTTGGAACTTAATCAGACGACAGTTTTCCAATTTTGCTCAGATTTTCACTCTCATCCCTGACAGAACTACTGGACAGCTTAGTGGTTTAGATATCTGGCTGCAAAGCCAGAGACTGGGAGTTCGATTCCCCACCATGCCGCCTTTACAGGGGCTGGACTTGATGATCCATAGTGTCTCTTCCAGTTCCGCACTTCTAAGATGGTTTTTGTTATTGTTATATAATTGAGGTCGAGCAGCAGAATGCTTATTTGGAATATATACCACTTGAACAATGTATCTGGTGATTAAAACTGATAATATAAAATATTGTTTCTGCTGTGGAAACTGGGAAAGAACAGAACTTACAACCCTACTCTTTTTGCTCTCTCTTCCTTCTCTCCAACCTAAGGAAATATGTCCTCATATCCAACTGCTACTCAGAAAGAACACTAACATTGTAAAGTGAATAGTTTGTTTGTTCTATTCGACAGTAACAAGGAAAGCATGGGAGGACAAGAATCAAAAACACAATACAGTGGTGCCTCGCTAGATGACGATAATCCATTCCACTGAAATCGCTGTTTAGCGAAATCATCGTCTAGCAAAAAGCATTTTCCCATTGGAATGCATTGAAACCTGTTTAATGTGTTCCAATAGGGAAGAATCGTCGTTGTCTAGCGAAGATAGGCCATAGGAAAGCCGCTTTGCGAACTGCTGATCAGCTGTTTAAATAGCTGTCTTGCGAAGTTTAGGTCCCGAAAACACCCGTTTTGTGAGCACGGATTGAGCTGTCAAAATTGTTGTCTAGCGAAAATTGGTCTGCGAAGCAGGGACCAAATATTGTCCAGCGAAATTTCCCCATAAGAATCACTGTTTTGCGAATCGCTATAGCGATTGCAAAAAGTTCATGTCTAGCGAAAAAACTGTCATGCAGGATAAATGTCTAGCGAGGCACCACTGTACAGGGAAAAACAAAGATTGAGCTATAAGAGAAAGGCTGCGAGGAAGGAAGCAAATGACAACCGAGGAAGGGAGTTTGGGGATAAAAAACAGATTCAGGGCATTCAAGTATTCTACACCAGAACATTAACGGAGGGCTCTCTAGTGTAGAAAAGATAAATCGCCTAATTTTGAGTAATGATACTCTGTGTTAAACTTTAATGACTGATGCTTCCAAGTAAACATTGGAATAGCATTTGTTTCTGCATTCAGAAGCAACTAGCCATGTAAGTATCCAAACTAACTAGTCAAAAACCACAAAGGACATTTAAGGACAACAGATTCCACAGAAGCTGCATCTGCTCTGTAACAGATGAGGCAACATATTATATATGTATGCGTGTGTGTCAGACAGAATGTGTTGCTCAAATTAAATGCTGGGGAGGATACCACAATGATATAGGCCATTGTGAGATTTGTACTTTCTTTACAGAGATAACTGTGGATTACAAGTAATAAAACATTTACATTTTCAGTCAACCTGCAAAGTTCTTGATGCTATCCAGGCAAGAACTGTAGTAAAATGTATTCGATTATAATTATACTGTATTTGTCAGCAAATGTAAATGAGAGACCATTCCAAATAGCCACCTTCTCATTTCTAATTATAAACATTTTAAAAACATTTTCAATGGGCATGTTCTTTAAAAAGTATCAAGCATAATCATTATCTTTGCATTGCTAGTGTGATGCAAATAATGAAGAGAAAACTATGATCAGAACTCTATAGTTAGTCACTCTGGTGAAATTGAATGACAAATAATGCAGTAGCGAACTATCACTAGTTAATTGCTTACACGCCTTGTCACATACTAGTTAGCTAAGCAGGTGCACAATCAGGGATAAAAGCAGCAACTTGTTAAGTAACACCAATTCACCACTATAATTTATGCCATCCTACTTATACTGGAGGGTAATCCGCAGAAGCCTGTGCTACAGGGTCAGAAGACCAACAGTCGTAAGATCAAATCTACGCGATGGAGTGAGCTCCTGTCACTTTGTCCCACCTCCTCGCCAATCTAGCAGTTCGAAAGCATGTAAATGCAAATAGATAAATAGGTACCATCTCGGTGGGAAGGTAAAATGGCGTTTCCTAGTCACGTTGGCCACGTGACAACGGAAACTGTCTTTGGACAAGCACTGGCTCTACGGCTTGAAAAATGGGATGAGCATCGCCCCCTAGAGTCGGACACGAATGTACTAAAAAAATGTCAAGGAGACCCTTTGCTTTTACCTTTCTTTTACTGGGGTTACTAGCCAAAGGGATCCTGGCCAGTATCTATAGTTCTATATTTACCAGCCCAATGAGACATTCATTATAAAAAAAGCATAAATGAGCTTCAGCAAGCCTCGAGACATTGCATTTCTGAGAACTGTATTGCCTAGAATCCATACCCTACCACAGATCTCAGCTGTTTTGTTATGGTGGGCCTCAGGCTGAGCATGCCTAGGTTGTGGACCTGTGGATAACAACACACTGATTCACCTCTGGAAAGAAAAAGAACACAGCATTATTGGTTATAGCAGCAGATTTTCTCGTCCAGCATTGGTGTGAATCCAGTGCATCAAGAGACCTGACTGCCTCTCAATGCTGCCACTACCCATCACTGAGAGTCCACATGAGGGATGTGTATTTTCAAGTTTTGAAACCAGGATTATGTCAAGTGTTTTGCTGTAATGCAACAATTATCTCATTATAACACCTACACACTAATGTTAATTGTTACCAGGAAAAAGCTAGCATTGGGATAGATGTTGACAAAGTTCCTAGTTCTAAGCCCAGTGCAAGAAAATGAGGAGTGTGGGTTCATTTCTTCTTAGCATGCCATGTCATCAAACTATTGAACACATTCAGTGGGCTTTACTTCCAGGAACGTCAGTGGAAGATTGCAGTTTGTAACATTCTATTATCATTTAAGGGAGGGGGGGGAATGCCATACGTGTTCAGTCCTAGAATAA